TGCGGGGATCGAACCTGCAACCTGCAGGGGGCAGTGCAGGAGCCGTGTGTGGGTCCAGAGCAGTCCCGGGGTGGGCGCCAACCATGCGGTGTCACAGGACCCTGGGTTACAAGTGGCCATCGCCCTTTCTCCGCCCGCATTGCCACGCTGGTCACTTTCACGGCCTTCGCTCTGCCGCCTCCTCTGGACTCCTGACTCCGGGTCTGGCAGAGGCTTGCATCCTTATCTCCGTGGTAACCCGGGGCGCCTGGCTCTGCCCAGGGCATGCTGTGGCCCAGTCCCAGGAGCCTCCTGCTGCTGAACGCGGCTTCCCGCGCCTGCCGCGTAAGTGTGCACGGGAGGTGGGCCTGGAAATGAGCTTGAAATGGTGGAACAAAAAAATTTTGTTCCATTTCTGTGCGTTCAAACCGTATTCCAGAAGGGCTAGGGAACAGGTAATGACAGGGGCCTGGGTGGGGGTGGTGGCGGCGGGGAGCCTGGTGAGATGAGCCCAGCAATTAGCCTCTCCCCGCAGGGCTCCGCTCACAGAACCGGGGTGGCGCCTCCTGCGGGCTGGGGGCTCCGCCCGGAGAATTGCAGGGTGGGCGGGGGCCCCGGGGGATCATTGTTCCCCCAAGAGCTGCGTTTGAACCGCCCCTGTGAAGTCCCACAGAGGCTCTCCCCAGCACAATTCTTTTGGGGGAAAAAAATAATAATAATACTTCATTGGGTTTTTCAAAATTACAAAAGCAATAGGGGCTTGTTGTAGCACAGAGATGTGTTCTAATTTTTCAGAAAGGCGTTCATCAATAGCTTCCCTGATTCCCACCCCCACGTCCCCAGAGGTGCTGGCGCTCACCGGTTAGTGATTAGCCGGAAGCTTCACCCCCTTTTGTACGTGTGCGTGTCCCCCCAAAAACACCCGAACCTACGTGTACATCGATGGGGGTTTTCTTAACATGTTGGTGCTGGTTTTGTTTTAAAGGAGGAAATCACACTATACCATGATCCTGCAATTTTCTCTTTTTACTTCCTGTACACGGAGTGGCCGGATTAGTGTGATCTCTGAACGCATAGCAATCTGGCCATTCAGTGTATATCCTATATAATAAAAGCTAATATGCAAATTATCCCCTCGACTAGCAGGCCTCCTGGCCAGGCTGACCAGACACCCCCTCTCGCCCCCTCCCCTGCCCATGCACGAATTTATGCACTGGGCCTCTAATAATAATCATGCTAATCTGGCCACTCAGTGTATAACCTGAACATTTTGTAAGTCAATACAAATAGATCCACTCCATTTTAATGTCTTTCCGTATGAGTACAGTTATTTAGTCCACCGTTTTCTGTCGGCGTGCATGTATGTATTCAGGTTGCTTCCAGGTTGGTGTGCTTTGTTTTCTTTGATTCTTAGCTGTCCTATTAGCAGCTCCTTCTGGATATTCTTTGGTTTCTTTCTCTCTCTCTTGTTCCTCTGCTGCAAAAGACGACGCTGCCTTGGGAGAACCATAGAAATGGCGAGCAATGGAAATGTTCTTCTCGACAGTCACGCCGATGTCGTTTTGTCCCTTTAATGTGTCACGTTTTCAGACTATTTGCCACCATGTGCGCAGGCACTGGGGGAGGTTGTCTCTTCAAAGTGCCCCAGGGTAGAGTGGGCGCCAGGCCCTGGGCCCGGCAAGCAGGGGGGCAGGCCTGCGTCAGCCGGGAGTGCGAGAGGCGTCAGAGCTGAGCGTGGGGAGGGCTCTGGGGTCCATCCTGTCACCACCGCTCACCTGCCGTGCGGTGCTGGGGACGTGGGTTCATCCAGGAAGCCGGGAGACCACCGTGGGAGGGTTCCTGTACAGAAGGCGCTTTGGACCACGCCGCGGGTGGAACAGCCAGGGGGCCGATGCAGCTGCGGGCCGGAGCTCCTCGGAGGGTGTCCGCCGGTCTTGAGCATGAGCTGAAGGCCACTTCAGTCAGCGGGAGAGCAGCCGATAGTCCCCACCCACCACTAACACCTGGTCCGGACCTGGTTCTTCACACCCCAGGTTGTTGCAAGATCCGGAAACCTCCTTAATGTTGGTTGCCGAAAGTTCTAGAACCCCTCTGCAGCGGCAAGCAGGCTGGAGGTCCAGTGGGGCAGGGGTCTGGCCACACTGTAACCCACAAACACTCAGCAGGACCCGTCGTGTCAAAACAAAGTCAAGACGTGCCAGACACTTCCTGTTGGGAAAACAGTTCTTCTCCCCTAAGACTTAGCAGGTGCCCACACCTGCCCGACCTGCCACGGCCCCTCGACACCCGGAAACACCCACCCCCGGCCCGGCCTGAGGCGGGCAAACCGCCTCGCACAGCCTGGGACCGGGACACAGGGGTCAGGACCGTGGACTCTGACACACAATCTTCCCCGGCTTCAGAGCCTGCCCCTTACTCATTGTATGGCCTTCAGCAAATTGCTTGATCCCTTGGAGGCTCAGTCTCTCTATCTGTGTAATGGGAATAACATACCCCCTGACAGCCCCGATTAAGGCCAAATGAGACGATGCCTGCAAAGCATACAGCGCAGGGCCTGCTACCCGGGAGGCTGGTACCCCCTCGTGTCTGATGGAGAGGCCACCTGCTCCCTCCCCGCCTCCCCTGAAACGGGGGCTAGCACTCCAGACCTCCTGGCCATCCGACCACTCTTTTTTTTTTAAGTATATTTTACTGATTTTTCACAGAGAGGAAGGGAGAGGGATAGAGAGTTAGAAACATCGATGAGAGAGGATCACCGATCAGCTGCCTCTTGCACACCCCCTACTGCGGATGTGCCTGCAACCAAGGTACATGCCCTTGACCGGAATCGAACCCGGGACCCTTCAGTCCACAGGCCGATGCTCTATCCACTGAGCCAAACCGGTTTTGGCTGGCCCCCTTCCCTCACACAGGCACTCACTATGCACGTCCACAAAGTCAATCCCTGGCTCTGTGATGGCGCAGGGACAGGGAATCCCCAAGGAGACGCTCAGCCCTGTCAGGGGCTGGGAAGAGGCCAGCTACGATGTGTGAAAGGGAGATGCTTGATCTGGATCTTCCAGAGTGAGGAGCTCCCTGCGAAGGAGCTGAGCAGAGAGAACAGCTCGTACACACTCCAGGGACAGGAGTCCGGGGTCAGGCGTGGCCGGGCTTGGCTGTAAGGAGATGCCAGTGGCGGTGGAGGTGGCGGAGGGGGCTGTTGATAAAAGGCCCTTCCGCCAAGTACCGTCAGGAGGTTGGACTTGATCTGAATGCTCCAGGGAGCCACGGAACGGCTCTCAGGAGGGGAGTGACACGGTTTGGTTCTCATAGGTCAACCTATGTACCAGGAAGTCACGGTTCGATTCCCGGGTTGCGGGCTCGATACCTAGTGTGCGGGCGGGCAGGAGGCAGCCGATCCATGATTCTCTCGCATCACTGATGTTTCTATCTCTTTCTCCCTCTCCCTTCCTCTCTGAAATCAATACAAAAATATATGAAAAAATAAAAGCACGTTTAGAAAGTCACACAGCTGGCCAGCCTGGACCCCGGGCCTCTGAGTCTTAGCGGTAGAATCATCATCTCCTTTGTGACAGCAATAGAATCATCGTCTTTTTTAGGGGGACCTTTTTCTATCTTTGCTTCTCCCCACATTCCCCATTTTCTCAGCCGGTCCCAGGCGCGTTTGCTGACTGGAAACCTCACGCTAACCATTGCTGCAAACCCAGGAGTTTGTTGCATCACTGGCAATCAGCTCCTGTCCTTGGGGAAACCTAATTAGGTATTACAGGGCTTTTGATGTCGTTTCCATGGGAACCACTGTAGTAATCGTGTACATGCAGAATATATGCTCCAGGGAGTTTGAAAAAAATAAATATATTGTTACTGGGTTTCTAGAAAATCTTTAACTTTTTTTTTCCTTTTGATTTTCTTCTGCACACACACATACACACACATAGACATGTATATTAATGATGGAACTGCTCCCTGGAGTTCTCCTCTCACAGAGAGAGAACAATAGAGAACACAAAAGGCCTTTTCCATTTTCTCTCCTGTAATTAAAAAAAAAAAAATCCGTAGCTGCACAAGAATGGAAGTTTTTCAGATTGGTCACAGCGTCTAAGCGGCATCTCCCCTAATAGCCAAGAACATTTTAATTAAAGAAATTGCTTACATAAAGAACCCGAAAGGGTACAGGCTTTCAAAACGGAATTGGGGGGAGGGGGGGGGACGAGGGAATCCAATGAATCAACTCCAAACGGATGTGCGAGGGGAAGGAGGAGAGCGAGGCGGGCATCCGTGTGCCTCCGTGGGAAGCGCCAGGCAGATGGGTCTGGGCTCAGCCTCCATCAGGGTGGCACTGGGGGCTCCGGGAGAGTCATCTCCCTGTCCAGGCGGCCTGTCCCAGGCCCTGGAGCAATGCCCCGTGGGCTCCTGAACTCCCACTGAACTGACCTGTCCACAGGTGACCGGACAGGTGGCCGTTTAGGGTTGGCCCCCACAGGGCGCTGTGAGAAACTCTGAAAGGGAAGCATTCAGACCTGGTCTGGCTGAGGTGGAGGAGCAGATAGAAGGGCCCAGCAGATGAGAGGGAGGGAGGGAAGGGGGGAGAGAGAGAGAGAGAGAGAGAGAGACAGAGAGAGAGAGAGAGAGAGAGAGAACACCTGTCACACGACCATGTGCCACAGCTATAATTCCAGGGTGCCTGGAGAATCCTCCTTCATACCCCCCACTGGGGATTTGCCCGCAACCAACGTACATGCCCTTGACCGGAATCAAACCCGGGACCTTTCAGCCCGCAGACCGATGCTCTATCCACTGAGCCAAACCGGTTTCGGTAAATGGAGGCATTTCTCAGCCAGGTCTCCCCACGCCCCGATCAGGGCGCTCACCCCCCTAGCGAGGGCTCCGGAGAGGGCAGCTGCCCCGTCCTCCCTCGCACACACACACACACACACACACACACAAACACACACACACCCCGTCTCCGGGGGCTCTGTCTGCCTGGCCGCACTCACTAACGGGCTCCCCGCCCCCCGCAGCTCTTCGTGATCGACAACGGCGCGGACGACTGGCGGATAGCCATGACCTACGAGCGCATCCTCTACGTCAGCCTGGAGATGCTGGTGTGCGCCATCCACCCCATCCCCGGCGAGTACAAGTTCTTCTGGACGGCCCGCCTGGCCTTCTCCTACGCGCCCTCGCAGACGGAGGCCGACGTGGACATCATCCTGTCCATCCCCATGTTCCTGCGCCTCTACCTGATCGCGCGCGTCATGCTGCTGCACAGCAAGCTCTTCACCGACGCCTCCTCCCGCAGCATCGGCGCGCTCAACAAGATCAACTTCAACACGCGCTTCGTCATGAAGACGCTCATGACCATCTGCCCCGGCACCGTGCTGCTGGTCTTCAGCATCTCGCTGTGGATCATCGCCGCCTGGACCGTGCGCGTCTGCGAGAGGTAACCCGGGCGCCGGGCTCTGCCCCCTGCCCCTGTCCCCCCCCAGCACGGAGCCCTCAGCGGGAGGGGGGGGGGGGGGGAGGGGGGGGGGGGGGGGGGAGGGAGGGGGGAGGAGGAGCAGCAGGGGGCCAGGATGTGTAGCCCAGGGGAGGACAGACGTGGGCAGGTGCCCACACACCTCACCTCGAGGGAGAAAATGGGCAAGGGGAGGGCCTGGCCAGGCGGAATTCGAGCTGCAACGTGGAAATCTTGCAGCAGAGGTGAGCATGGGGGAGGGGGGGAAGGCATGGACGGTAGGACGCATTCGCTGCTGCCTCTTGGCAAACCAGAGTGTGTATGGGCATGCTCCGGTGGCACCCTTAGCCTTCCTCGGGTGTCATACGGCCACTTCTGAATTTATCTCTTCCCGTCGGAGAGGGAGGGTGCTCACGTTTTGAAGGCTCTGAGACGTCCTGCAGCCAGGAAACTGGTTTGATGCTGTGTAGCTCGGGTTGTCTCAAAAGTTATTTGCCCAGGAACCTGTTTCAACGTGTGACGCTGTGGATGCGTCCCGACGCAAAGGTTTGGGCCACAGATCGGCGGTGGTGGCGGCCCTGGGAGCTTGTGAGGATGCAGAGTCTCAGGCCTCCCCTCAGAAGCACTGAGTGGAATCTGCATGTTAACCCGTTCACCGGGCGATCTGGATGCGCCGTGCAGTGTGAGAAGCCCTGACCTGGCAGAACACGCTGTGGGAAACACTGCTTTCAGGAGGCTGGTGGCTGGACAGGGACGCGGGGGAGCAGCTGGTGGGAGAGAAGGGGCATGAGGCCTGATAGATCGGGGCTCTGACAGCCCTTCCGAGCAGCTGCCACCGAGGTCACGGGGAGGGCTGGCTCCTGGTGGCCCCTCCCCGTGTCAGGCCGACCCTGCGTGTTTGTTTTCACCTGAGCTCTCATGTTGCGTCTGTCACCGGGGTTAGAAACCTGTTTCTAAGTAGTTGCAAGTCCTTTGGAACGTCACGTAGCATCTCTGGCTTTAATGTTCTTCTTTTAAAACCAGAGGCCCGGCGCACGAGGATTCGTGCGAGAGTAGGCCTTCCTCCCCGGGCTGCCAGCACCGGCTTCTCTCCGGCACCCAGGATCCCGGCTTTCGCTCTGGCCAGGCCGACTTCGGCCTTTTCTCTGGCCCTGCTGCCCTCCTGTAGCTCCCTCCCCCCTTTCCCCTCGCCTCTCCCTATAGCAGGCGCCCTGTCCTGCCCCAGCGGCTCCGCGCCTGCATGCACACGCTGCCCAGAGGCCCGGAGAGGCCGGGGCGGGGCGGAACGTCCTGACCCCGCTGCCGCCATCTTTGTCACATCAATTTGCATATTCCCTCCTTATTGTCTGTGGGTGCCGCCATCTTTGTTGAGGAGTGATGGTCAATTTGCATATCCCGTCTTTATTCACTAGTGTGAGGATCTTGAGATAAAAGGGAGATATACTCACTTGAGAGGTCATTTTTGCTATGTCGGCTTGCTCAGACCTCCTGTGTGATTGGCATGGGTCCTGGTCGTCACCCTTCATTCATCAGTGCATATAGTTGTACTGCTTCTCTTAAAAAGACCAGACAGGTTCCTTTAGAGTCAAGCTTCCATGACCTTTGTCCTTTCCCAATGTCAGAGAATGAGCCAGATGGGCAGGAACCTGGCGACAGGAACTTACCAACCCGAGGCCGGACAGAGACGGGAAGAGGGGCTGCCCTGGGGGACCAGCGCATGGGACTGGGGCTCGGGGGTGATGTGGGCCGCATGACCTCCATCCCTCTCAGCCTGATCTGATCACCATCCTGTCCCCTGCGGCTTCGGAGGCGGTAAAGGACGTGCCCAAGGTCACACTGCAGCCCGGCGGGTTCCCGGATGGCTCCCGCCGGCACCCGGGCAGGGCCGGTGCACCTGCCCTCAGCCTGCAGCCGGGTTGTGTACCCACGCTCGGACGGTTGCTATGGAGATGCCGTGTCAGCGAGTCGCCTTTTGAAAGATATTTCTTGGGCCGGCTTTGATGCCATGATAAAGGTTTTGCACAGTTCCTCCTTCCAGGAAGGGAGGGGACTTCGCGATTACCCAGAACAGCCCGCCCGGGGAGGGCAGCAGCTGGTTGCTGGGAAGGCGCTGACAACAGAGGCTTGTTTTGCTTGGACCCCAGCGAGGCATTACATCATGGCTTCCGAGGCCTGACAGCCAGGGAGCTCCGGATCCTCCCGGCCGCCTGCCCGCCTCCACAGGCCGCCCAGGGCCCATCTGAGGAACCTCCCCATTTAACACTGCCACCCGGAGCCGCCTCGCTGGTGGAGGGACCCGGCCGGCCGGCCCGGCCCCGAGGCGGCAGGTGCGGGAGCGCCCTCCGGGCCGCCCCGAGGACAGGCCGGCCGGCTCCGGTGCTGTGTATCCCCCGGAGGAGCCGGGGGCCTCCCCGGACACGGTGACGTGGCTGAGCCCGCTTTGTAAATGGCCTCACAGCCTCTGGAACGGGTTCCCCGGGGGCTGTCCCCCGCGGGGGCTTGAAGCTGTGCATGGGTGCTGTCTCCGGCTCTCTCGCCTGCCACCGGGTCCCTGGGGATGCGGTGATGAGTGTCCATCCTTTCCTGGATATCCGCATTCGAAGGAGAAGTCTGATCCTGGAGACCTGGCCCCTGGATCGGGAGAGAAACAGTCAGGGGCCCACCGCCCCTGCCGTAAGGCCTCCATCTCAGACTCCCCGCTCGGCACCAACCACAGAGCCCCCCTCCTCCCACAAGCTCCTCCCGCCTCCAGCAGGGCCTCCACCCCCCGGGAAGCGGGAGGGAGACCATCTACGGGTGCAGCACACGGAATGGGGGGGGGGGGAGCCCCCCAGCAGGGCTTGTGAGATGAGTCCCCAGAGCCAGGGGCTGAGGACTGTCGTTTCTCACGGCCTCTTGTGTCGGAGGCTCGACCTCCAAGGTGGACCAGGGGCGGGGACCGCAGAAGGGGAGGGAATGATCGGAACTCATAGTTACAGTTATTTTTACCTAAAAAACCAGCACTGCCAATATTTTAACGTGCAGGTAGACCAGCAATACGTGGGTGGAATGGGTGACGAACATACATGTGGCAGGGGGAGAGTGCACGCTCAAAAAATGGGACTGGTAGGAATCTGTGATATTTAAAAAATATTTTTTTTATTGATTTTTTTATTTTTATTTTTATTTTTTTTTACAGAGAGGAAGAGAGAGGGATAGAGAGTAACATCGATGAGAGAGAATCATCGATCAGCTGCCTCTTGCACACCCCCACACTGGGGATGTGCCCGCAACCAAGGTACATGCCCTTGACCGGAATCGAACCCGGGACCCTTCAGTCCGCAGGCCGACGCTCTATCCACTGAGCCAAACCGGTTTTGGCGGAATCTGTGGTTTTAAAGGTCGCACACTACTGGTTTGGGGGGTCAGGGGACTGGTTCATGAGGATTGTATTCTGCCGCATCGGCTGAAGCCTGCTAGGCCCAGAATCCCTGCCCTCTGGTTAGAGAAAGAAGTCAGCACCCTGAGGGGCAGAGGAGCTGCCTGAGGCAATCCTGCTGCCCCGAGCCAGCTCCGGACAGATCCGCTAATTCCAAGATGAGTTTCACGGCGGGGGGGATGGAGGAAGGTGAGGAAGGGAGAGAGGACCTGAGGGGAGGGATCCTCATGAGGCTTTGGAAACCCACGTGCAGCGTTGGGAAAGGGGAAAACCACCCTGGAGGTGCAGAAGCAGGTATCTTATGAGGACCAGCAGGCACTCTCCGAAGATGGTCCAGCCACACTGCAGCCCGGCGGGTTCCCGGATGGCTCCCGCCAGCACCCGGGCAGGGCCGGTGCACCTGCCCTCAGCCTGCAGCCGGGTTGTGTACCCACGCACCGACGGTTGCTATGGAGATGCCGTGTCAGCGAGTCGCCTTTTGAAAGGGTGGTCTCTGCGATGGAGACGGGCGGGGGGTGTGAGAGGAAGCGTGCGATGGAGACGGGCGGGGGCTCTCACACAAGAACGGGGCTCCAGGAAACTAACATTGTTCCAGCGAAAAGAAGACCCACATCGGGGGCACTGAGCTTTCAAGAACGTGGGATGTGACCCTGGCCGGTTTGGCTCAGTGGATAGAACGTAGGCCTGCGGACTGAAAGGTCCTGGGTTCAATTCCAGTCAAGGGCATGTACCTTGCTTGTGGGCACATCCCCAGTAGGGGGCGTGCAGGAGGCAGCTGATGGATGTTTCTCTCTCATCGATGTTTCTAGCTCTCTATCCCTCTCCCTTCCTCTCTGTAATAAATCAATAAAAATAAAAAAAAAAAAAAAAGAACGTGGGACGTGCAGGACCAACTCCAAAGCTCTCTCTGAAGGTAGAAGACAGAGACGGGAGGGAAGAGGGCGGATGAAGGCTCTCGAATGAAGACCCAATCCAAGAATCGGAGTTATTTTGGGAGGAAGAAACCAGAATGATTTGGATAAAAGCATCCAGGACATGCATGAAGAAAAGGTTTCCAGGACTGGCCAGCTGAGGGGAGCGGGGAGGTGAAGATCAGGCAGATCAGAGAGGCTTTCCGTATCCAGTTAGAATGGAGGGGGGTGTGTGTCTGGAAAATTGACTGAATCATCAGGTTAAGCAATCTGGAAGCACGCAGGCAACACAATGCAGACTTTTCCTCAGGAACCTAAGTCCCAGGAGACATTAGAGATTTACTGCCATTTACACGAGGAAACAAGAAAACAAACAAAACAACTGTCATTCTTGGCGTTGCGTGGACTCAGAAGGTGAACAACCTACGTACACTGTTGGGAAGCTTGCCCACCAGCCGAGGAATGACTCCCCATTAAGGTCTCCAGAGGGGAACAGGGTGCAAGAGAGACAGGTGGGCAGCGCTGGAATCAGGTAACACAACCCAGACAACATCTGAGCATGGTGGCAAAACCAAATTCTAGAGAAAGCAGATTCTGGAAAGAGTAACAGCATGAAATAAAAACAATAATTCCATAGTAATTAGAAGGTTGCAAAC